GTTCGGGGTTAGTGTACTGTCATCCAAGAGGCGGCACGCTCGCTGGCACTGCATAAGCGGGGCACTGGGACGCGTGCGTACTCACCTACTCGGAGACCAGTTGTAAGGTCGAGGCTTGGTCGCACACGCTGGCCCGGGGAGTTTGTGCGTTCGGTGATGGCAGCTGCAGTTCGCATGCGAGTCAACGGTCGGCCGCGCCCAAGCCTCACGTCTCTCAGCACGTTCGTGCGTGCTCGGCCACCACTTCGCGTGGCTACACCCAGTCAGGGTCGGCGTTTGGTCCAGGTTTTTACAAGAAGTTACAATTCAAGGCTACCAAAAAGGAATGGTTTTACCAAATTTCAAAACTTTTGGGGTCAACAAAACAACATATATTTCAGGCGTTCACAATTTCTAAAGTTTCGAAGTCTCAAAAATAACAAGGTGCAAGTTCGAGTTCCAAGTCCACCAACTTCTTAAAACAGCAAAACGCAATACACCACAGATCTAACGATATGCAAAATCTCAAAAGAACTTTCATGACGATTCTCCCTAAGTCAGCGGCTTCTGCCGATCCATTAAATAGACAGCTCGCCTTGGCTCTTCCGACAAACAGTGTCGGCTGACACGTCAGCTCTTCATCGGGTAGCTAAACGTGTCAGCAGTCCTAAACGAGCGCAACTCACTTCTCAATCTTCACACTTTGGAATTTGAACACGAAGTTCCTCCGGATTCCGAAAGGAGGAAAAGAACAAAACTTAGAATAAGGACGGGTCCGCACTACGCGATTTGCTTACTCCAGACTCGACTATCCTCCTTAAAAGATTTCTGCATAATCTTTTAAGGTGGAAAAACACTCCATCCTCTTATCGAACTGAATTGTGCTGGCTTCAGCTCCTGTGCGTTTATCTCGATGCCAAGCGTGAATAATTAATGTCCCCCCGAGGTTAGGTTATTCAAAAAAAAGTGGCGATAGAAAAATTTTGCCCTCGAGCCTTCGTGATATTTTAACGATGGCATTCAAACGGAATTCTCATACTTCGCAAGGAAATAAGGATAAGCAGAAGCAAAGAGATGCTTATTCTCACTTAAAATCAGATTTTTTTTTTTTTTCCCNGAGTCTTCGTGATAATTTAGCGATGACATCCGAACAAAACTCACATACTACGCAAACGAATAAAGATAAGCAGAAACAAATAGATGCTCAATCTTACTTGCAATCGGGTTTTTCAAAAACAAGGTCAATACCCAACTTAGGATAAATAAGAATTGGCTAAACTTCAAGAGAAAATGAAATTTAAGGTTGGAAAGCTTGAAAAAAATAGCGAAACCATGGTAGGGTTTTGAAGACAGCTATACCCCATACAAAGCGAGAAGGAAAGAATTAGGTCGAACGCAAACCTCTTCTAGTGTCTATTGCTCGAGTTAGCGATATCACGAAACAAGTTTCAAAAATTTAAGGATCAACAGAAAATAAAAATGTTGAGGCTAAATCCCATCAGAATTTCTATGTCAGGAAGGGAAAATCTAGCGAGATCGCGAAAATTATATAGCAAGCAAGGGTCCCAAAAACAAACTTCAAACATGCCTACAAGGCAATTCTAAACAAGATTCTTAGACTCGCGGAGGCAGACTTGGATTTACAGAAAAATAAAATACTTAGCTCCATCCAATCTTCTTCTTACGTAGGGAAAGAAAACATAAGCGAAAGTTTTAAAGTCTGGAAATTGCATAGCCTAAAAGAAGTCTCAAGCACAATTCAACACTGGTCTGCCAACCGAAAAGGGAATAAAATAAGGTTTGCAAAAGCCTACAAGAAGGCAAAAGCTTAAGAAGGAACAANAAAACAAAGTCAACTCCGAACATAGGATAAACCAGAATTAGCTAAACTTCAAGATAAGAGAGTTTTAAAGTTAGGAAGCTTAAAATAGTTTACACAGCGAATCAAGAATAGGGAAAAATCAAACGAAATCCTCAAAATATGAAATTTGGATAACAAAAAGAAACCTCAAGCAGAATTCAAAATTGTTTGCAAGCGTATACAAGAAGACAATAATTTAAGAAAGGAAACACGACTGCTTCGCCTTCACGAGTCCACGATTCACTGTTTTCATCATCGGTTCAAGCTGTTCCCGGTAAGTCCCGCTGTCGCTAGAAAATCGCTCACGGTGCGAAATATAGAAAAGAAATCTTGACGTCTCCCTCAAGATAGAAATGTCACTTGAGGTTGCGGCATAAAATATGCACGCGGTGCCAGATAGGTCTATCCGCCTTAGGAACAAGGTCGGGTTCCTTCGTTGAGAGAATTTCGCAAAAGAAAAGGTTACTATCATCTATCTCAAGGCCTAGCCACTCTCGAGAGTCGCGACAGTGTTACGCATTAAGTTTCCCCAACACTCCTCAGGGTCGGACATTAAGTATGCACAAGGCCCCCAGACTCTACTCCGTGTTCGCACTCGACTGGGGTTCAAATACACATCTAATGGTCTTAACAACCATGGTTACAGACCTCCGAATATTCCACACTTGGGACTTCTCCGGTTGTCTGCTCCCTTCGTTTAAGCCTTCTCCTTTCGAGATGGCTCGCGAATGGTCCTCTTACGAAGACACCAAAACACATCGAGAGGACTGTTATACACAGAACTCAGCTCGATAACACCATATCAAATTTCTAAACAAACAAAACCTGAAGTTAGAACTTAACTCTATACCGCTAGAGTTCAAATTCATACAACTAAGGTTCGCCACTCATCTAGAGTTCCAGAACGTTTTAAAAGTAGGAGGATAAATTCCTAAGCCCCAGTTTACATCTCATAATATCATAACATTGCACATAAGCAATTCCAAATTCACTCATTCATACCTGAGTTGGCGAGGCACGACGGAAGCGAGTGGTCATATACTACATCAATAATACAAGTACTTCACATAATTCACGTATACCAGTCTACAGAAACGCAGACTGGCTCTGATACCAAACTGTAACGCCCCACTTTTATTTGCCGAAAATCAGAATAAATTTTTCAAATTTATTACAAGCATTTGTGGCGTTACTCATTTAGTTCGAATCACTACCATAACATAAATCATCTAACTCCCAAAACGGGATTCATAAATCCATAAATTCTCAGTTCGCCCAAAACGGGTTCCCAAAATAAATCTCAAGTTTAAAGACATGACAATGTCAACGGGGCATCTCTCCAATAGTATCTCAATACTCCATAAATTCTCAAAGTTCGGAAATGCATAAATCATAAATAGTCATAAATATAGCGGAAGCAAAATCAATTAATAACCGGTCTCATAGACCGACCACCACTCGCTCTACTCCGCCGTCGTACCTGCCTCGCTTAACCTGAAACGTGAATTTCAGGTGGGGATGAGCACAGTTGGAAAAAGTAGTGCTCACCACTATGCAGTGAACATTATTCACAATAATGAAACAGTAATCAATAATCAATAAGGTATGGTCTCAGCATGAATACGACTCAATTAATTATCCCAATCTCCTATCAATCATATCAATAATAGACTCATGTGCACACCTATACCAATAGACTACTGCCGGTAGATGTATCGAAGGCCCTCGCTCGGGTCATGCTTCGAATGCCCCATGGGCTCTACATCTATGCCCTCCGGTCCTACACATCGAATCGCCCCACGGGCTTCCATCGATGCCCGGTCAGTAGGAGTAACCCGCCGGCCAAGGCCTCACCTTGGTCTTACCAACGGGGTTGTCCAGCACAGGGACCTTTAACCCTT